ATCAAGTTTTGAGCTCAAATAGGAACCTACTTCATCACATATCCATCCTCAGGAAACAAATGCATGACAATGTTGGTTGCATACCCGATAATACTAGATTTTTCATAGCTGAATAATGGGAGGTTGGGACTGCCTCGCCAACTGATTGTCTGCACTAATTGCTGGGGAAGAATATCAGAAACAAGCCCCACAGATCATTGCATATATGTGACTGGTCGATTTTTCCCAAAAACCCATCAACAGCCATAAGTCACAATGGGTGAAGCTATATGTGCACCACTAGCTTAAATGCATTAGGCATAGATAAATCATAAAGTGGTGCAGAGTGTCAAATCAGATCAAAAGCTCCCAGAATGTTTCTGTGGAGCGTGAGTCATGTGCTCTCAAAGCAATTACAGACATACCAGATATCCAAGTCTTAACAACAAAATAGCCTCATTTTTTTGATCCGACACAAATCTATATAGTAATAGGGACCTCCCACCGGTCCTGCAAAATACATAACCAATCAGCAAGTATGAATCAAAATGGCTGCATAAGTATAAAAGCACAAGTGTAAAATCCTACCGGAACCCACCCTTATTTACTCCCCCCTCCTTGCATCTGCATGAAACTGTCCAAGATAGCCCTTTGGCCGAAGTCACTCTTACCTATGAAATACCTCGCTTTGGTTTCGTTTTCAAATGTGGCATCATAAAAAAGCTCCAGGACTTCTATAGGGTAAGTATCTTTGTGCCTAAAGATAGTTGTTGACAATTTCTCGGTCCAGTGCTGATTAACAAGATTGAGAGATGTGGAAAAGTGTTTAACTTCATCCATCATTTGTTGCATGATGTCACGATTGAGGTCTGTCTTCCTCGTGCAATCTTTCGCCGATGGAATTTTTTTATGATGGTCCTTGCTGGAGGATTTATCATTGTTGGTTTGAGATTGCTTATCTTCATCTAAAAAGTTACTCGTGGGAGGAGATTTATGAGGAACAGACATGCTACCATGTTGATCATCGTCATCATCTCCAAGGTTGATTGCATTGTGGCCCCCAAATTTCTCCATAGAGGCCTTGGCAAAGTTACCTCTTGCTTGATCATCCCCATAGATGACAACTAGGTTTTCATAATGTCTCAGCGGCTTATTTATGTAATCTTTAAGCCTACTCTTATTTTTATCCTGCTTGCAATCAATATCCAATTCAGTGTAAAGATGTGTAATTATTTGTTTGGTCAGAGGAATCAACATTTTGAAGCTGTGCACGCTTCATTTACCTCATTCCATGCATCAAAACTCTCGGGGTCCAGCATGATTGTTTGTGTTGCCTCATCCCAACCTGTGCCACTGATATTCCGCGTAGCCTGCATGTCTTGAAACTAAGAACGAATTGTTTTCATATGGTTAACAACACTCTTGGTAGCAGATGATGTACCAAATTGCTTGTTTACTTCAGCGTCCGCCATTGCAAATGCATGTTGCTTAAAGTTTTTGTCTGGTTTAAGACCAGACCTTGCCAAATTGGCCAAAAAGGGTATGAGAACGTCTTCGTGAGCAGGGGTCCACCATCTAGTTGAGGACACAGATGATGCTGCTTCACCACGGGGTAATTTTCTTTTCTTGTGGGCCAAAGCCTTGTATTTTTGGGCAAAGTAGCTGAAGTGGCTACAACTTCATCCCTCTCCAACAGTTTATTACTACCTGAATCAGAAGTAGTCCCTGTAATACTAGTTGGAGAATGAAAGTAACCAAAGGAATTGGAGGCTTGAAATGGTTGTGGCATAGATGGGGTGTTACTGAGCATGTACATGTAAGATGAAATGGGGTGAGGCATAGGGAAAAAGTTACCATCGGCTTGCGAAACATTTGGAAAAACAGAGGGTGATTGCATGTATGGGGAGGATGGCTGGAATATTGGGTTGAATGGGTGATTGAACCCACTGCCGGATGGAAGCACGGGAGAGTGTGGTTGGCCCCTAGATGTCGGGGGGTGAGTGGTGGTCCTCGTGTTGGCCAAATCAGTCACATCATTATTTGCATTATCAGTCATTTCCTATAGCCCAACAATTCATATGTTAGTCCAAAAAATATTAAGATGGTACTTTACAATGACTGCGTTGGAATGGAGCAACAAATGAGGTGAGACACAAGAAAGCATAATACATAAGATAACTAAAATGGTAAAGAGGTACATGACATAAAAGATGTGAGACACAGGATATCCATCAGAAGCACAAGGTCTAGTTTGATGCCCTAACCAATAAATAAGTCACACAAGTGGATATAACCAACACATGTTAATGTAGTAACAAACACAGCGTGCGAAATACGTTACAATAACCACAACCATAATAAACTTAAAGCAACTGAAGGGAATTGTATCAAATCACACCGCAGACTCAGTCGTGTCACCATGTCGGTATTTACAACAATAGTCAAGCCACATGTCCAAAGCGATTTGATCTCTGCGAGATCTCCATTCATCCTTGGAGGCAACTTGTTCTCTAACAGTCTAGGACTATGAGAAATCAATGACGTTATCTTCATTAATTGCATCTTCAGTGTCATCCTCACAAACGTCGATATCCTCATTTAACAAGTCATCGTCTGGGTCCACTATTGCAATGTAGTTATGTAGAACCATGCATGCCAAGACAATGTCGACTTGGGCTTGGAAGGGGTAGTGGGGTTTTGCTGTGAGAATCTTGAAATGATTCTTCAATATACCGAATGTAGCTTCAATCCTTGACCTCAAAGAGGAATGTCTATAATTGAATAACTCCCTCCTATTTTAAGGTGTTCTCCCAGAAAATTCCTTTAGATGATAACGGGCACCGCGATATGGGGATATAAATCCCGGCTGGGTTGTGTATCTCGCATCACACAAATAGTATTTACCTATATAATGCAAAGTATTTTAAGGAGAAATGCCTTAGTACATATTAGAGCGGACTAGTAGTCCAATGAGCTTTGATTTGTTATTTTGAATTCATTATATAAGCACAAATAGATGATTCAAATTTTAAATATGCTTTATCATGTATTCTATGAGTGGTTTGATCAAGTCTTACAAAGATTTTTTTTATTATTGATCAAACATCATTTTTGGTTTAAATGGTTGATTTATGACTTCATTTGGTTGATTTTTACTTTTGAGTTATTGAGATTGTTACCAGTGTACACCCTTAAGCCATAAGGTTGTGGTCTAGATAAATTATCTTGCAGGATTCTATAATTGTTAGACGATCCCTCCCACCCAGCTAAAACGTAGGTAAACATTTTGTTTGGTGTGCAAGCCGCAAGAATATTTTGTGTGACACATTTGTACCCTCTGAAACGCGCAACTAGTGAGGCAGGTAGCATAGCATCCACATGTGTCCCATCTATCATACCTATGCAATCCTTCAGAATTCAAGTTGCTATGTTAATGTAATGATTGAGTAATGAATAGATTAATTTGGGTTAATAGGTAGAGTGGTTGTTATACCTTGAAAAAAGATAGAAAGATTGATTGTTTTGGATCTCCGGGGGCACTTCATTTGGTGCTTGTTTCATATATATCGGCCTTGTATGCTCGAAATTGCTTGCAATACTCTGTTAAAGTATCTACTAACGGTCTCCCCTGATCGTATAAATTGCGTTCTCATCGTACATTTTTTTGATTTATGACCCAATATGTTCAACGTTATAGCAAGCTGCTCCTCTACAGTTATAAATCTTGAGTCCTTTAAGAGATGATTAGTCCTCATTATCTTTGCTAGTTTAATAAACTCTACCCTAGTGTTTTCATGCCTTACTCTTTCTGCACTTTGGCCAAATCGTAGCGATCTGTGGCGAGACTTCATTCGCATCAAAAATGTAACTACTAGAACCATTACAGAAAATACAACCCCAGCACACATTCTTAAAACGCTCTCTTCGTCAACATAATCACCATCCATCTATACATTATTGCTTAGAAATTAGAATTTTACGTAAAACCCCAAAACAAATACTTAATAAACAGCTACAATATATGCTTGTACTAGTGCTATTGACATGATAAAAAATCATTCTAGCTTAACAACACTTTGTAATCTATTGTACGCACAATTACTATTTTTGTAAATGCTAATGACATTTAAGGAGCTGTTTTGGTGTGTTACGAAACAAAATATTTTCCAATACACCCCATTTAAACTCAACAGGAACTGTCCATCTTTAAGTAAATTAATAGATACTCCCCATTTACATCCACAACCCAAAAATTTCTCCACAGTTAAAACGAATACCCAAGCCTACTTATTTCACAAGCTATAAAAATAGATGAGATGGAAAATAGCTCGCTTAACAAAGCTAATCTACAGGCGTATGTTATTTACAGGGGGATAATAGCAGAAATAGTCATGAATCGGCCCCGCAATATGAAGCAAACATTTTACAAAAATGCAACAACATGAAGATCTACTACAAAATTAAACCCCCAATTTGCAGAAAATGCAGATCTACTCTCGAAGCAACTAACCCCTAATTTACAGATTAATTAAATTTTAGAAAAATTCTTGCCACGAAAAATACGGAAAAACACTGCTTTTGGCCCTCAAATGTTAAGATCTACTAATAAAAATCAACTATCAGCTTAAAAAACCAGCTTTCATCTTCACAGTCAAAGTCGAAATCAGAAGTCACATGCATGCACAAAATATTTCGCCTACTACTTTTGCTACAAAGGAAAACAACCTGAGGAAAAGAAATCGAACTTCGAGATGTTTACGGCGAGCGACACCCTAATAACAGGCAACAATCAGGGTTCAGCTCTAGAGGAACTTCCCCCTTCTGCTAGATCTCCCTACATAGAAAAAGGACAAGCGATACGTTTGTGATAGATCTAGAACAGCAACCCAGCCAACAGGCCCAAATCTACGGCGAGTACTTCCGAGCGCCGCCCATCTTCAGAGCCAGGGTTTTCTTAGAAATTAACTTGGAAAAATAGAACGGAGCAATGGCGAAACAGTGAGGAAGAAGAAGAGCAGTCAATGGAGGTGAGGCTAACGACGAAAGAAGGAAAAGGTGGAAACTCTCTTCAATCAGTCCGCTGCTTCGTATCTCGTGCCAGGTGATAAAATAATCACTGAAGGGAAATTTCCACCCGTTTTCAGCCCAAAAAGAGCTGAAAACACATTTCCGAAAAAAGTAACGTGGACCCCCATTTCACAACCCCATTTCTCAAAAACCGACGACAAACCAAACATAATAAATGGAAATTATTGGAAACCAAAATCCGACCTGGCACCCATGTCATGTTTCATTTCTTTGTTTTCACAGTTTTTTGGGCCAAACAAACAGGCCCTCATAGTAACTCTTCATAGATACTTTACGAGTTGTGCAGAAAGGGTATTACCCTGTTGATTAATGAGAAAAATAAAATTCCTCAATCTTTTGATCTCAACTATATCTTAATAAGCAAATTACTCAAATTGCAAATTAGACAGAAATAAAATGTAATTTTTAAATTGTTAGGGATGCAATTGCACACGTAACTCATATGTAACCACGACCCCCCGTGGCGTCACAACTAGGTCATCTTTGACACGTATGAGCTGCTACAGCAAAAAGAAATCAGAATCAAAACTAGAAGAAAATTAATACAAATTATTATATTATTACGAAGAGAAGCGTATATAAATGAGTGTGCGGGCAAGCGCTTGCCACCTACTATAAAGATGGCATGTGGATATTTTATTGTTGAAGATGTGGGTAGCGGCGAAAATACGCACGTGGTCCTCGTGCATTAATTGACCCTCTGGAACCACCAACAAATTAAGTGACTCATTTCCCTCTGTCCCTGACCCAATCTCCCTTTTGAGGTTGGATTGGCTCCTTGTCGTCGACAGCAAGCTCCCTTCTTTTGTTCCACCCACGTGCGTTTATTAACGCTTACAACTTACTTTTTAGACCAAATTCTAGACCCCCGGTCATTCTCGCGATCAAGTCGGCATGGGGGTATTAGGGACCCACATGTCAGATGATGAGTGTAATTTGATTTGTGTGATTGACAAATGTGTAATTTGTTGTGCCGAATACAAATCTTATCAGAACGGCTATCATTCCAAGTAACAATAAGCAACATAAGCTGAAGAGTAAAATTTTCAATATGTCCTCGCCTGTCTATCTGAATATCGCAGAACATTCGGCACGTATGTAAAAAAAAACTCTCAAAGAATTTATATGTTACACTAACCGTATCACTTTGGGATTCCTTTTCAGTGGCACACAACATTATCGAGTGATTTTTTTTTTACTCTTAATTAATTATATTCCTCCATTATCTAGCTTGGTGTTTTGATTAATCTCAATCGTAAATAAATAAATAAATAAATAAATAAAACTTCGGGTACTGAAATATATATGACAACTCGAAATAAGTCACAAATATCTATCCTCTTTACTGTTAAAAAAGTAACGTGGTAGAGACCGTTACTTTATTATCCACTATTGATTTGTCTAATGAGAGGTTTTACTCGCCGTCACCGTCCTCCCCACTGGCGAGAAAACAGAATACATTCCCTTTGTCTTCTTTTCCCGCTATATATGTAACTCCCCCATACCCATATCCCTTCGACCTCCCAAACTCGATTCCGTCTAAAAAAACTAACTAGGGTTTGGTGGTAGAATAATCAATACGAGAGTTTGGATTGATGACTAATCTCTCCATAAGGGGAACTCTCCTTCCTTTTCTTTCTCTCCGCTCACTCGCTATCTATCCTTTTCTCCTTCTTTCTCCTTCTCCTCCTTCTCCAGCGATAAGTCGTTGCCTCCTGTACATACTGACCAGTGTGTCGTCTTACCTCACTCCACCTGGTGTCCAGTTTCAGGTAATACTTATATCTGTATCCTTGGTACTGCCTCCTCCTACGTCACTCCCTCAGTATAATCCCAGTTCCGCTGAGTCTGCCACGTGCTCGGCACGACCGTCACCGCCAACCCCGACAACGTCGAGCACATGCTCGCCACCAACTTCAACAACTTCCCCAAAGGGAAGCCCTTCTCTTCGATCCTCGGGGACCTTCTGGGCAAGGGGATCTTCAACGTCGACGGCGACCTCTGGATGTTTCAGCGTAAGATGGCGAGCTTGGAGCTAGGCAGCGTCTCCGTTCGGTCCTACGCTAGATCACCATGCCACGAAGAATCCGTTCCCGTCTGCTGCGCTCCTCTCTTCGGTTGCGGGCTCCGACGATGTTGTCGACCAATTCAACGATAGTTTCCTAGGAGTTTTCGTTCGAATGAACATATGTTAGGAATTTCGTACGCTGACCCCGGGTGTCTGGATCGTCCCCACCATGCCGGTGGTCAGAACTTCGGCGGCATGCGTTTGATCTGGGCGTCGGTGCTTAGTCGTGCAAAAGAGAGCGCTCGTCGGTGGCTCCCGAAATCGCGTGAAGGTAAAGCGGGTACATCTGATTTGGGTCGGAGGCGGGACGCTTAACACCTACGCAGGGCCATCGGGCAGGTCGACGCCCTGGCTGACGAGGTGATAAGGCAGAGGAGGAAGCTAGGGCCGTCGTCGTCGAACTCCGACCTACTGTCCAGGTTCATGGGCTCGGTAGACGACGATAGGTATCTGAGAGACATAGTCGTCAGCTTCTTGCTGGCTGGTCGAGACACGGTGGCTTCAGGACTCACGACATTGATTTTGCTGTTATCGGACCATCCCGAAGTGGTGGCGAAAATGAGACGGGAGATCCACGCCAACTTGAAAGGAAATTCGATGAGTTACGAGGCGCTGAGATTCCCGCAGACTTCGAGTCGAACTGTACCGCGGTAGCTAGGCCCTGCTAGAGGCCGCCGTGGACGTAGCTCATCGATCTCAGCGCTGTAACTCATGATTTCTTTCAAGTTTGGCGTTGGATCTCCGTCTCATTTTCTGACCACTTCGGGATGGTCCCGATAACAGACAAAGATCTGTCGTGAGTCTGAGCCACCGTGTCTCGACAGCAAGACAAGAGCTGACGACTATGTCTCTCAGATACCTATCTTCGTTGTACGAGCCCATGAACCTGGACAGTTAGGAATCGGAGTTTTCGACTGACGACGGCCCTAGATTCCTCCTTGCCTTATCACCTTCGCAGCCAGGGCGTCGACTGCCGATGGCCCTGCGTAGGTCCCGCTCCGGACCCAAAAATTCAGCAGCCTTATTCACTTCCACGGATGGGAGCCACGACAGCCCCACCTCTCTTTGCGACAAGCACGCGCCAGATCAACGCTTGCGCGAGAATTTCTGAACCGGCGGGACAGATCCAGACACCGGGGTCCAGCCCGAACGAAATCCTACATTATGGTATTCGAACGAAAACCTCTGAAAACATCTGAATGTCGACACATCGTCGAGCCCGCAACCGAAGAGAGGAGCGGCAGCAGACGGGAACGGATCTCCGTTGGCAGTGATCGAGAAGCGTAGGGACCGAACGGAGACGCTGCCTAGCTCCAAGCTCGCCATCTTACCTGAAAACATCAGAGGTAGCGTCGACGTTGAAGATCCCCTTGCCCAGAAGCCGTTCCCTGAGGATCGAAGAGAAGGGTTCCCTTTGGGGAAGCTTGTTGAAGTTGGTGGCGAGCATGCTGGCTCTGGACGTGTCTGGGTTGGCGGTGACGGTCGTGCCGAGACACGTGCAGCTGATCGTCTGGGTCGGGGTAGCTGCGGAGGATGGTGGGCGTACAGTCGGATAAGTTGCCTGAAGCTGGACTCAGGTGGAGTTTGAGGTAAGACCCTGCACACGTGCGCAGATTGCGCACAGGGGCCTTGAGCTTCGCTGAGAGAGAGGAGGAGGGAGGGGGGGGAGGTAGGAGAAGGAGAGGAAGGATGAAGGGTGACGGAAGAGAGGAGGAGCGGTTCTTGGATGATGATTGTATTAGTTCTTGATTATCCATCATAGTTTTGTTTTCTATGCGTCCGTCGGTAGATCGAGTTTGCGAGGTGAAGAGGATATGGGTATGGGGGAGTTAAATATATTAGCAAGGAAAAGAAGAACAAAGGAATGTATTCCTGTTTTCTCGCAGTGGGGGCAGACTTCGGTGACGGCGAGTAAAAACCTCTCATTAGACAATCAATAGTTGGATAATAGTAACGGTCTCTACTCAGTTACTTTTTTA